TGTGAACTAAGTAAGACATACTGAATAATACATCACATTATAGCATCATAGCTTAACCAAGAAAACAAGGTTAGACAATGCATAAGTTAGCAGTGTAAGGACGGTTAGAACAATACATAGCTTAGAAGTGTGAACTAAGTAAGACATACTGAATAATACATCACATTATAGCATCATAGCTTAACCAAGAAAACAAGGTTAGACAATGCATAAGTTAGCAGTGTAAGGACGGTTAGAACAATACATAGCTTAGAAGTGTAAATGAGGTTAGAAATATAAACATGGTTAGATGGTACATAGCTTAGCAGTATAAACAAGGTCAGACAATATATGGTTTAACTGAGTCAACAAGGTCAAGACAGTACATGGCTTAACTGAGGAAACAAGGTCAGACAATATATGGTTTAACTGAGTCAACAAGGTCAAGACAGTATTTGGCTAAACTGAGGAAACAAGGTCAGACAATATATGGTTTAACTGAGTCAACAAGGTCAAGACAGTACATGGCTTAACTGAGGCAACAAGGTAAGCCAGTATTTGGCTAAACTGAGGAAACAAGGTCAGACAGTATATGGTTTAACTGAGTCAACAAGGTCAAGACAGTATTTGGCTAAACTGAGGGTTCTTGTCACATAGTTAAAAAGCCAGAAAAATTGTGATAGTTATGGGATGTTGTCTGCTTTTTGCTTGTTATTATTCTGTGTTCTTTGTGTGCATTACGTAATTAAATAAAGAATTATTTAGTGCACTCGTACCATTAGTATAAAAAGTAAGGTTAAGTGTCATCATCAACAGTCAAAGGTAAGTATTTATTTCTTGTTGTTCATGCGTATTCTTTATTTATTATTATAAAAGTAATTAAAATGTAAAAATTGGAAATTCTTTAGATTAGATAAGGTAAAGAATATAATAATAAATGTTCATGAGGTATGCTCACGAGTGGTCAGTGTGTTATGTAATTCGATACTGTAACATGAGCTGCACATTTCTCACATAATTTACAACTTATATCGCAAGAATATTAGTTAGACATGATTCAAAGGGCAATAAAACGATATACGTACACTATTACGGGTTTAAGGCTATTTAGTTTAAACAAATGTAGTTTAATGTTATAATTTGAAGTCATTCTATGAAGTAATTTAGATTTTTTTTTGGTGATTATGAGGTCGGTAAAATTGATCAACCTTATATTGAGGTAGGGTAGAGAAAATTTGGTTAGGAGATTTTAGAGATTACGCAAATGAAATTGGAGATTTTTGAGAAGAAGAAAAGTATTTTTAATCTTAACATAAAAATCACTTTGCTCTCAGACTAGAAAAAAAAAAGACTCAATATATTTACAGATAAATTTTGAGTAAAAATTCTTCCTTAACAAATCTGATTTTTTTGTGTTACAAAAGACTTACTGGAAGTCTGTTAAAATTTTGGAAGATACTTATACTGTATTAAAAGTTATAGTATGGAAACTATAACGAGTACTAAATGTTTATGAAGTTGGTCAATTCTACTGACCTTGTGGTGAGAGTTTAGCCAAATACTGTCTAAACTTGTTGACTCAGTTAAGCCATGTACTGTCTTGACCTTGTTTTCATCAAACATTCAGCTAAGGTCATCTATGTGTTTCCCATGGGGATAAAGTTTAACCCTATCGCCACGGGAATCCTTTACTGTCTAAGACACAAGGTTTTAGTGTCCGACATTCAAAATTTTATTAAACTACTTTTTGTTTATGTTATACCAATAAAAATAGCATAAAATCTTAGCTAATAATCCATATTTTAATAGTATATAAGTTTTAAGTTCTCAATTCTACAAGGAAATATTAAAAACAATCCTGAATTTCCACTAGTGTGATCCACGTGACACATTTTGTCTTAGCATGTCATCATCACTATTTTATCCACCATTCCTCAAAAAAGTATGAAATTAAATGTAAGTTATTCTCTATAAAAACGTTATTGTTTAGACAAACCACAATTTTTATAGCCTTCAATTTTGTTTGGTTACAGTGCTATCGATTAGAAAATCAGACCTCTCCTGCCAAACCCACCTGTCTCATCCTCTTTCTAACAATTCCTTGATAGTTCTCTCTTACGTTTCTTTATATATTACCTATAACCAATAGAAAACCAAGGTTTTTATCTATCAAATGATGTATTGTATAATATTGTGTTCTGAATAGATAATAGTCAATTTCACCCATAGTAGCAACATCATTCCTTCTTAGTAGCAACGTCATTCCTGTGAGAAAATTAATGACTAGCTTTGATGAATTTGTAATGGCTCTTGTCGCATAGTTAGAAAACTTTTCAGAGGTATGTTATTAGTCTATATTCTTTGGTGCATTATGTAATTAGAAAAAATTATCAAGTGCATTACTATCATTAGTATAAAATATGAAGGTTAACTCTGTACGACAACCAATGACAAGAAAAAAGAAGATTGGTTAAGTATTTTATTTCTTGTTTTTCATGTTTATTCTTTATTTATTATTGTGATAGTAACTAAAATCTAAAAATTTTAACATGAAAATTTCTTTGCACACGGACTATTCAAAACAAGCACTAATTATAATCGTGGACAAATATCTATTTTATTTTATTAAAAATACTTCACTAAGAAATATGAGTTTTTGTATTAACTGAAAGACTGCCAAATTTCGTGAAGATATACCCACTATATTGAGAGTTATAAGTATTAAATCTATAAAGACTTTAAACAAGTAAAATAAGGTCAGTCAAATTGATCGAGCCCTTATTGAAAGTGTTAATGTGCTACATCACTCAGTATATCTTCCCTTTATTACACTTCCAAGCTAAGCACTATTTTAACAATTAATGTGCTACATTATTCAGCGTGTCTTAACTTGTTTACACATTTAAGCTCGGAACTATTTTAAACTGATTACTGTGCTACGTTATTCACTATCTTACCTCTTCCTTTGTCTGATGACTTTGAATTCTACTGTAAAACACATTCAAAAAATCTAGCTCAGCAGCATTTCCCGACCTTTCAAGGCACACCCGCATCATCTCTACCACCTGTGTAGCAATATAAAGTACAATAATACAAGCTTTGCTGAAATGTCAGCAGAATCTCTGCTCTTCTACAAGAATAACATAAAACTCAGAGTAATAGTGATCTATAAACAGTACCACAAAATCTCCCTAACTATAATACATATTTAGCCATTTCAAGATAAGTGTGTGCGTAGCAATCATGTTCTTATTAGAGGTAGGCATTCTGAGAGTAGAAAGTAATACACTAACATCAATAATTGAAATTTAAGAATACAATATAAAAAGATTTCAAATGCTAAACAGTCTAAGATCACGACGCATACAAACCTGCATTACTTCTGCCTTCAACTGACACGATGAAAACCCACCATCAAACTGTAGCAGTTTTAGCTTTGACTGCGCCAGATGAAATGGTGTTCGCCCCGAATTATCTAAAGCATTGATGTCTGTTCCTATCGCAAAAAAATCAGAAAATATCATCCTTCTGTTATTAAAAAATATAAACAACAGAGTGGTACTTTTTACAAGAATCAAACCAATATTCTATCAAACCGAGCTATCCATAAGGACAAGCCATCTTAAATATTCAAGATAAGCATTTATTTATAGACAACAAAATGGTGACTGCAAGTAAAAAACCAGGTTGGCTCATAAAGAATGTAAAGGATAGAATTAAATAAAAGCATCATAACTATACGAAGTTTAAATCTACTGCAATGATGAGAGATTTGGAGGATCATAGGAGACAAAGAACGTTACTCAAATAAGACATCAAAAAAGTATATGGAAAAAAGGTTAGCTGAAAATTTAAGAATAAATGGTAAGGATTTCTTCAAATACAATAAGGATAAGCAAAATGTTTGGATAGGAGTAAGGCATTTGAGAGATGATACAGGAAGGCTACATTTGAGAATTATTGGGTAGCTGGGATGTTAAATTCTACTTTTTCTTCAACTTTTACAAATAAAGATTTAAGTTGAGCTTTTTAAGAAAGAATTTGGAAGTTAAAGAATGATGAAGCTCTTGGACCAGATACCGTATTTGCCGTTATATAAGATGATACTTTTTACTCTTAAAACAATGCCTGATTTTACACCCCATAAAAAACTCTCCAGTTAATAATAGCATTTTAACCAAAACTATGTTGTACCTTTAACTTTTATTCGCTTTTTTGAGTAAGTGTGGTGGCATCGTTCCACCTACTGCATTAAAATAACATATTTGTAACTGTATCATTTGCTACTGATTCTTCATAACTAGATGTTATTTATCTCACAAGCTAGTTACAATTAATCATGATAATTTTGATTTCAAATGTATTCATCTCATCTATCATACTAAAATATTGCTAATATTATATCAAAAAAGGTCAGTTTCTGTAACATACACTAACTGTATAAATATGTTTTTACAGTAGATCACTGTATCATATAGTTTAGTACTGTTTTGTGATAAAAAAAGGAGTTCAACTGTGATGAACATTTTTTTATGTTTATTACATGTTTGTGACTTAAGTTTTGCTGCAATGAGCTGTCTGTTGCGTTTGAAGAGCATAAAAAAACCACACTTATGGTTGTATTGCTTAGCACAGTTGAAAAATAACCTCTAATAATTTGTTTACAAAAGTAACATCCTATACTTGCTTGACAATAGAGGTCATCTTATACACCGAACCTCAAAGAAATACACTTAATTTGTTCAAAAACTCCAAGGTCAGCATCTTATACACAGGCAAATACGGTAATATTTACCTAAGGATTTTGAAAGAGGTTAAGGATTGAATATACGAGTCTCTCGCTATTATTTTTTCTAAGTTCTTGAATAGTGGGCAGATGTCTCTTTTAAAGGGAGGTAGTAAAAACTGTCCAAGCAATCATACGCCTATCAGTCTTAAGTCAGTGGTTGGAAAAGTTTTTGAAAGTTTGATAAATGATGCTTTGCAAAATCATTTAACAAAGTTTATCATTTTTGTTGAATAGCCAGCATGGGTTTACTAGGGAAAAACCTTGCCTTACTAATCTTCAAAGAGGTTACTGCTTATGTAGATGACGGTCTGGGTGTGGATTTGGTGTATCTGGATTTCCAGAAAACATGTGATAAGGTGCCACATAAGTCTAATTAAAAGTACTCTGTAGGTGTCAGGGATAGGTTGGCTCAATGTACAGAAGAATAGCTAGACAGAAGAAAACTGAGGGTTGTTATTAATGGAGTTTAGTTAAATAGGTTAAAGTCATGAGTGGGGTACCTCAAGGCTCAGTGCTCTTTTTTGGTTTACATGTGTGACATAGATGAAGGAATAGTTAATAAATTACCTTAATTTGCTGATGACATTAAAGTTTTGAGTATTGCTGGCTGTGAGGAGGATGATGCTAGTGCTCTACAAAATGATTTAGATTATTTGGAGAGGTAGGGAAATAAATGGAAGATGACATTTTATTATAATAAATGCAAGACAATCCATATGGGATATCACAATTTGAATATAATTTTGATGAGAATAACCTCAATAGTGTTATGATAAAAAAAAGATCTTGGTGTTCTGGTTCATTAGTCTTTCAAGCCATCCAAGTAGTTTACTGTTCCTCGTGGCAGGGCTAATAGGATTTTAGGTTGTATCTACATAAGTACTGAATACAAGTCTAAAAAGGTTATGATGTACTTCTACAAGTCGTTGGTTAGGCCACCTTCGGAGTACTCTTTTCAGTCTTGGGCTCCTTACCTTAGAAAGGACATTGAATTATTGGAAGGGGTTCAGAGGAGGGCTACTACGATGATAATCGGAATGGAAAGATTGTCATACAAGGATAGGTTAACCCTTTTGCAACAGGTAGGTCAAAATGTGCAGGTCACAACCTTCGAAAGAGTTACATCCAAAATTTAATTAAACTACTTTGTTATCAGTGTTTATGAATAAACTTAGCATCAAAACAGAGTTAATAAATGAAACTGTAGTATCATATGTGTTTTAAGTTCTTAATTTTATAAGGAAATGTTTCAAAAAATCCTAAAATTTTCCCTCTTCTACAATGTATTTATCACTCCTCTGAGAAGTGTGGAATTTAACATACATTACTTAGTATATATATTACTTTTAAGTTAGATAATTATTAGGTTAGATTACTTAAGATAATAAAAAATAATATTAACAATTTTTCACAAGTATGTTTGCAAGCAGCTTGTACATTACCTAATTTGACATGGTAACTTCAGCTGCACATTTGCAAAGTGTGGTGGAATTATTAGTTTAACACAGTTCAAAGGGCAATAAAACAATAAAATTAAAAATAAATAGATATATATTGTTATGAGCTTTAAGCTACTTAAGGAAAACAGTTTTGGTTTTCTGTTACATTTTGCAGTCATTCCAGAAAGAAAAAAAGGGTAATTTAAACTTATTTCCTAATTTTTTATGGGGTTAGAAAGTTGGTCAAATGGTATAGAGTTAGGGTAGAGAAAATAGCATATAAAATATAAAGTTTTTCTGAAAAAACAAAATACAAAAAAATTTGATATTTATTTAGGAGGTTTTTGAAATTACACAAGTGAAATTTTAAAATTTTCAGATGAGAAAAATTTTTTTTAATCATAACACACTTTGCACTTGAAGCATACAACACTCTGACTACACACACACACACATATATATATATATATATA